GCTTCAAGGTTTCATAAAATTAGTTCAGTGAAGAGATACCTATTAGAAACCCTATTCCACTAATAGGCTTATACTCACATCTATACCAGTGATTTGGGGGTTAGCAGAGTTCAAAGGCATTTTTAAGAGATTATTTGATGTTTATATGCTGTACCATTTCTCTGCACCTTTCTGTGATGCTTATTGTAGGGTTATGGATAGCTCACATGGGTTACCTCGTGGCAGATTGCCATGTCTGTAGAGAAATTGTACCAGTTTAGCTTTACCAGGTTAATAATTTTTATTTGGGTAGTTATGCTTTACTAAATATGCGTATTATGGTGTACCAATACAGAAGAGATCTGGGGCTGCATTGCTATAAAGCTCCTTTCATATTCCTATAATTACATCTGTTTCTGTAATGAGCAAAACAAAACCACTCCTTCACAAAACTCACTGATCTTTGACAGTTTTATGGAAGTAGGAGGCCTTTGTGTGCATTTCTGGTGTTTGCTCTTAGCGCTCCAGTGCAGTGATCTTGGATCACCACCTGCTGTCTGCTGAAAGAATTCATCCTATGTTGCATTTGCTGAACCACTTTGCTCCTTGTTGAGACATCATCTCCAGTTCCCACCCTTCCACAAGGTACCACTACGTGCATTTACTTACCATTCCTCTGCTTAGCTTGGAGCTACAAAGTTCGTTAATTAAGTTAAAGCTGCATAAACTCCAAGAAATGTGTCCCCATTAGGGATTTTCACTGTTTTAGCTAATTTGTTTTTTAAACAAAATATGGGACGGATTTGTAATGAGCAGTGTAGGAGAAACCCTGACTTAAAGAAGAAAGTTGGCACCTGCAAGGACCTGACTAGACCTTTGTAGGGCTGAGAATAGGGAGCCCAAATGAATATCCATATCCTTCTTGTGCTCTGAGGTCTTGAGTGCTGATGAATCAGATGCCAACATTTTGCAAGGGAAGGGCTGCTTTGAATTCCCACCTGTTGTGAATGAATGATTTCTGTGGGAGCAGAGCAACAGAATGAATAGCAAACACAGGAATTACTTCTTCTTTTTGGAACTTGAGGTTACCCTGTATCCTATTGAAGTGTTTTCCTTTTTTTAAGCAGTATGTGTTAATTACACTGAGTTCCACTTGCGCTGACCAGCCTTTCCCAGACTGAGCATGGGATGACAGCTATCGTGGTTGGTGCATGGCAGCACAAATTTGTGGAGGGAATTGGATGATCTGGAATTGCCACAACTATTCCTGCAACCAAATGTCCATCACGCTCCCCTCCTGAAGACTGCTGGCCTGATGCACAGTGGCCGAGAGAAGTGTCTGTCTGCTCCTGAACATTAGTTAAGATTTATTTCATACCCTCACAGAAGTTTAAGATGACACTAGCTTTTGAGGGGAGCTGCAGCCAGGTTTTCCTAGTCTCGTGATGGTGTCCTTGTGTGTGTTTGGGGATGGTGATTGCCTTGGACATACCTATCTGGGTTTCTTGTTGCATTTAAGTAGATGTTACAGAGATTTTCATGACTAGAGCAGGCAGGACTGGCAATACAGTGAGGTATGTTGTCAGGATTAGATGGACAAAATACTTTCTGTTGAGTCTCTCTTCCCAAGTACATACCTTCAGCTGGAAAACTTGGGGTTTCTTCGTGCTCTTTGTACCTCCTGAGAAATGTGAGAAGCAGCACCTCTGACTGCAGAATTCTCTATGGTGGGTTAGAACGAGGGAAAGGAGTTCAGATTCTATGTTTGAAGATTAATGGGGGTTTTTTTGTGCATGTCCTGTGTTAGTTCTTGAAAATATGAAGTATGTAAACGTTGAAATTTAGCAGATTAACAGAAGAGGTAGAATCTCCTCTGGGTTTGGAGGATATCAGTATGCTGTGTAACCTGCAGAGATCTCATCAGGAGTCCTTTTCTGCAGACACTAGTGGAAACAGAGAAAAAAGTAATTCTAAAGCACCAAAGGAAATTAAAATTACAGAAAAAATCAGATGGGAAATATGTCCATAATCATATAAAGAGAGAAATAATTTGAGATACAGATACTCCATGGGAAGATGAAACCTGGACAAACATAATGGTGATAAATCTCCAGGTAACCTGAGACATTAAATGAAGGATACATTTGTAATAAAAGATATATGATTTTTGCATGTTAATGCGATTTGGGGTGGGGTGGGGTGACAATGGTATTAAAAACATTCATTCGGCACCAGAAATCCTTTCTTTGAAAATCTAAGAAGGTCAGAGAGAAGTAATAAATAAAGTTACCAGGATATTTTGGCTTGAGAGGTGTGATTAAACTCAAAATAAATACGTATTATCAAAATGCCACAAGCAACAGAAGAGAGAGTAAGTATTTTTCATCCTTCAAGCATTTGTAGATAATTGAAGAAGGGAAAGAAAATATTTAAAAAGGTTGAAATGCATTTAAACTGGAGGGAACAGTATTAATGGAGGGGTAAAACCACTGAAAATAAGATTATACAAGGTTCATGGGCTGGCATTTTAAGTAGTCTAAGAGTGAGATTAAACAAGATGCTGGACTGTGTCCTTTGGGGAGCAGCCCTGCACTGTAGAGAGGATGGCAGAATAGGTTTTGTTTAGGGCTAATTAGCATTTTGTTCCTCTGATCTGGGATGCTACTGGCTTGGAAATCTAGCTTGTTCTGAGAAAATTGTAAATAGTTTCTGTACCTGCATCTTTTCTGGGGTTACCCTATCAATTTTTTAATTTAAAATAAAAAATCAGTTTCATATTTAGTCCTGTTTTAAACGTAAGAAAGGGGCAGACAGTGTGGGCCGTAGCACACAGACAATCGGATAAAATGAAATATTGTAAGCAGAAGAATTTGGAAAGGAGGCGGTATGTGGACAGAATGGAGTTGTCGTGTTAGGGGATAGATAAACAGTGTGAGCAAGTGAACGATAGGGTTGCTGATACCTGGTTTGCAGTGGGACAACCATCGTTCTGCCTCTCCTGCCTCCCGTTTCAGAACTCAGCTCTGCGGATCTTGGTGAGTTTAGATTGAGTCAGAAATGCCTTGCTTTGAAGCTGAGAATGGCAAAGGAATGAGCAGAAGCAGAGTGCTGGTGGAACTGCCCTCCTTTTGGGGGAGAAAACTAAAAAATCCTGTCCTGCTTTCAGAAAATGTACTTGGTGTGTGAAAAAACCCCTGCAGACCCGCGAGCACACGACGCAGGGCTGCAATGGCTTGGGGGAGTGCGTGCAAGGAGCTGAGCACTGGCCGTGGCTGGCGTGCGTGCCTGAATTTTTCTTTCTCAGATAAGGCTGCAGAGTTTTGTGTTTCTGCAGGCAGCAAGGCTTTGCAGTGGCTGGACTTGAGTTAATGAAACGGTCCGTTCCCGGCGCAGGCCGAGGCTTTAGCGTGGCTCCGCTGAGTGGTATTGAATGCCCTTCCCTCTCCTTCTCCCCAGCTGCAGGAGCGTGTGGCCACGTGGCCCCCAGGGGAGGCAGACCAGATAGACTAATGTCAGAGCAAATTTGGGATTCAGCCAGTGTCTGAATGACCCGGTGCTGGCTGGAGGTGTGCTGCGTTTATCATTGTTTCCTTCGCCCGGAAGGGAAAGCTGCAGGTAGGCTGATAAAAGGAATTAGAGGTTTGTCCAGCTTCACTGGAGGTCTGTCGGGTCCTGCGCTCTCTTTGCTGAAAGGCTGCCTGGTAATTCCCACTCTGCCTTTCCTACCCCTGGGATAAGGTCTGTTTCGCTTTTACTCCATTGGTTTAAGCATGCTGGTGTTAGAATAGGCTCGAGCACCTCAGACTTTGTGGGGGAGGACCCAGGGCTGGAACAGCAGCCAAAATTTAAAATCAGGATTAGTCTGTTGACATGCACATAAATCAAACAGCCCTCCTATCATAAATCTTTTCTGTGGATTTTTTTTCTGCTGCGGCGATGAAGCAGTAGGAGCAGTGCAGCAGCCTGGGCTTCCCAGGGTTGGGCTTCAATGTCAAGGCTGTTCTCCTTCACCCCAGGTGGCTGAATGCAGCTCCCTGCTCCCCCTTTGGTGAGATCCCTGCAGAGGCTGCAGAGCTGCATGCTTTTTTGTTTGCTTATTGTGGTTTTTTTGACATGATGGTGTAACATTTTTTACTGGTTTTTTTTGGATTTCTTTTGCATGGTCAGGTCTCTGTTTCTGAGTCATCTGGTTGGTGTCAGCAACATCTAAGACAGTGCTAAAAGCTTCTAAAAAGCCCACTATCCTAGCACAGAGGTCTCTGTGGGATACCCAAAGCTAAGGGAGGAGTGGGTGATTAATGTCTTTTGTGATAATAGGGATGCTCAGGAATGGGAAAGAGTGAGTGTGCTCCAGGCTTGCAATCTCAGCTCAGTTCCCTACAGGTCCTTGGTGTCTTCTGCATGGCCAGCAAGCAGCAAATTGGATATTCCAGCAATTGATACCTGAGCACCTGTGCTGTGTACTCAGTGCTACCAGAGCAAAGAAGGGGGTTTCTGCACAGATGGGTTGGAAAAAGTAAACTTTTTATTACTGCAACATAACAGAGAGTCATGCTCTGAACCACATGATGTGCTTGCTTGTGAGCAGAGCAATGAGTGTCAGGCTGGAGGAGATGGACCCAGTTACGGTACTTTCAGGGATATTAAAGAAGCCTGATCTTCTTTCTGTGTTTCCTTCTCTGTTCCAATGTTTCAGAGTCTCTTCCCCCTTCCAAAATAATGCTTTACTGTGTGTAAAGCTATGTGTGAGATCACAGGGGTATGCAATTTGCAAACCCCATAATTTTTTCTCCATGTGCCAGCCATTAGCAAAAAAGTTGCTCTGAAAAGATTAAGAAAACAATGTCATGGCTCAGAGGAGTAAGGCATGCTCTTATTGATAGAACAGGTAATAGAAGACTGCAATATTAGGGTAATGGTGGGTGGGATGTTCACATGTACACGTGTGTGTTGTTTCTCGGGCTGACGTTTTGATCTACCTTCTGTAGTATAAATCTGTTTTCTCCTTTTCCTTTCTTCAGGGTAACCAGGAGCCAGCAGCAACTCCTGATGCAATGGTGCAGCCATTCACCACAATCCCATTTCCGCCACCCCCACAGAATGGGATTCCCACAGAGTACGGGGTGCCACACACTCAGGACTATGCAGGCCAGACCAGCGAGCACAATCTGACACTCTACGGAAGCACGCAGCCGCACGGAGAGCAGAGCACGAACACGGCCAGCACGCAGAACGGATCTCTTGCAGTAAGTGCACAAGGGTGCAGAGCCAGGAGAGCAGCACAGTGCTTTGGGGAAAAGCAGATATTGGTTGGATTGCTGTTTCTTAAGTATACGGCAAATCAGCAGTAGACTTGAGAAGGAGAGAATTATAAACAAAACATGGCTTCTGACCTTCCATTACTAGGTTTCCATCTTTCCCCTTGTGAATTGGTGTCTGCAAAGAAAAAAAAAAATAAAAAGGAAAGTAGTATTTAAAATCATTATGTTGTTACCATGATGGTGTTGTCCAAAGACAGTCTTTTATAAAAGTGTTAATAACTTTGTGTTAATTGGCAAATGGTTCAAATAAACATGATGGAGGCAAACTCTGGAAGGTTGATGGTACACAGAATTAGGGTGAACACATGCATTTTAGATGTAATCCCAATGTGGTTTTGTTTTCAGGAAACTGCCAGAGTAGAAAATCACTTTTATTTGACTTTTTGAAGATGGCAGGGAGCTTCAGAGGGCAAAGTTAGGAGAGGAGCTTTTAGCTACTGGTCATCCATTTGCCAAACCAAGATTTTTAGCATCTTCTGTATTTTTGCTTTCTTCTTCCCATGGCCTGGAACTGGCACTGGGCAACATGCTGGCAGATTATCCCAGGAAAAGCTTTATCCACCCCTTAAGCCACTTGTTAAGACTTAACTTCCTAATAAAGAGCCTTATGGTGAGAGCCTTCGGCACTCAGGGGCGGATTTAATCTGTTAATGCTTTCAGTTTTACTTGTAGTTGGTGTTTGGCTTGTAGAGATTATTTTTTTCCCTGGTAAGTACTGAATGAATTCAGTGCCAACAGTTGGAAGAACTGATAGTGCCAGCTCAAGTGTGCACAGTTCCTGGTGTGTGCCTCTGCTCCACTGCAGTGGCTTGACTCTATTGGTCATGACTTTGTGAAGATATCTTTGATTTCATCTTGGGAATGCCTCAACTTCAGCGTCTTGAAGAAACAAAAGAGTACAAACCCTGTAAGGCACATTGATAGTGTGTAAAAGGAACTTTGAGTGCCTTACTCTGTAAACACAAACGTAGATGAGAAGAGGTCAGGCAGGAAATAAAACTTAGAGCTGGTGCAGTGTGCAGAAATGCAAGTCATCATTTTAGCACCAGATTGTCCGATGTCGTTCCGAGCCGTAAGATTTGGGCTGCCCGTCTCCAGCAAGCAACTTTCTCAAGCACTGCTGGTTGGATGGGGAAGCTGGAAATAGGGAATAAAACAGGGCAGTGGTTTTCCCCATGTGTTTTTGCTGTTCCCATCCTTGTCCAGAGCTTAAGAGCATTTCTTTTTAATGGAAATGATGTGACTCTTGACCTTGAATGTAAGTTCTTGCCAACCTTCCTGCTCCTCTTCCATATTAGGAGCCATCTCGGTGGCTCTGCAGGGCTGAGCTCTGTGTTTTATCAACTAAAGCTGGCTCCAAGGAGCCCACAGCGTGTGGCTAGCCTATGAGGAGGGATTGGGAGCCCATCTGTGAGGAGGGAGTGTTGCTGGGAGACTGCTGGGAGGCAGTGGTGTTGCCAGGAGTCTGCAGAGGGAGCCTGACTGGCAGGGGTTTATCCAAGAAACAGGTTGAATAACACACAACACTTGTACTGGCTGTTGGAAACAGGTGGGCACATCTGGTGTGACCATTTGATGTGGTTAAAGATGTGTGAGCTGAGCGTGCAGAGTTAGGCTCGAGGGCCCCAGCTGGCTGGGAAAGGGTGAGGGCACAGACAGGGGTGTTGCTGTGACTGCTGTGGCTGGGACTCGTCAAGCCCAAAGGATCCCAGATGGTGGCACATAAAGAAATCCAAGGAGAGAGAGGGGGGAAGGTGCCTCAACCAAGGGCCTTTCACATGCTGCTTTCACATCCACTGCATCCTGGATCTTCCAAGTCCCCTTATCTTTTTGTAGAGGACTTCTTCTGTATGAAGTTACTTTTATTCTGTGGGCTGCCTTGGGATGTAATTCCATGTAACTTTTCTCCATCTCAGTATGCTGATTAATGATGTAGGATCTAGGGGAAGGAAGAAGGCTCAGTAGTTACTCAGGCTAAAGTGTGCTATAAAATATACAGCAGAACAGGTTGGGTATTTCACCTTAAACATTTACATGTAATGTCAAGCACCTTGTCCATTACATGCACTGGTTATTGCTTGTTGGATACACCTGTTCAGTCCATGTGGACTGCTATGCTTTAAGGTATCTTTTCCTTTCACCATTTTGTTATCTTACTCAAACAAAAGTGCTAACTTGAATAGAGTGAAAAGTCATTGGGGTGAGGTATGAGCCTTCCCTCCCATTATTGTGACTGACAAGCACAGTTGCTGTCATTTGTGTGAAGGTAATACCCCAGACCAAACAGCCAGTAGGTTTTCTAGCTGCTGACTTGAAGCCTGTGCTCCCATGGGATGATTCAGAAATTCATTCAGCCAGACAGATAAGTTCCCTGCTTGCTTTTAAGAACAAGGCCTGTGCTTGGTCCATTTGTCGGGACAGGGTGAGATAGCAAAAGGTGTGGTCAGATGGTGGGGCCTTCCTGCTTTTTAGGCTGATAGCCTTTAGGATAATTGCCAAAGTAACAAAGAACATGGGGTAGCTTAGGGGCCCCTCATGGAAAGGGCAATTTAATCTTGTTGGTAAGATGCTACACAGCAGTGTGAAGGGGTCTGTAGCAAGGTCCCTAACACACCAGGTAGGAGCACCTTTTCATAGAAACTTGGCAGATTCTTGTGGGTGACTCAGATTGATTTGAAATTAGCGGTGGTGTCTGAGTTAATAGACAGTGATTTGGAAGCCTGAGGTCAAAGATCAGTAGTGAACTTACGTAAAATAAACTCTGAGAGTCAAAGTCCATGCCTTCCTATGCAGTCTAAAAGCCCTGAGCAAAGGGGAACGACTGGTTGGTGTCACCAGCTAAGGATGAGCTTGGTTCTGGCAGTGTGAGTGTAGTGGAAAGCATTCAGAGCTTTCAGAACAGAGGCATGGAAAAGAAATTGACACAATAGGTAGTGTAATACAAACAACTTCATATTTTAGAATCTTTTTTTTATTTTAGGATCAAGCTTCATCTGTGGAGCTTTGTTTCTTGCCTGGTATGCAGATCTCTCATACTTCATCTCCAGGCATCTGTCCTTTCTCTTGATACTGTCCCAAAGCACAGCTGAAAGAACTGGATTAAAAATAGACTGAGGTACCGGACCATATTTGGCCTACTTGGTCTGCCTGTTGCAGCCTGTCTCTTAAACAGTTGACACTCTGCATTTCACTACTTACAGTGCTGGGTCGCCTGGTTTTTTCTCCCTTCCCCCTTCTTGGTTTACTTTGGTGCTCTTATCCCTAATGGAGACACCCAGCATAGTTAGCTGCAAGGGGAAATGCTAATTAGGCTGCAGTACCTCTGGCAGCTGAGCTGATCTAAAAGATTCACTGCTGTCAGAAAAGAGATATCTGGCTCCAAGCACAAACTCCCACTCCTATTTACTGGCTCTGGCATTCCTTACGTGAGCCACTTTAATTCACTGACCTGGCAGAAAGCTGTCCAATTCTTTTGCTGGGTTAATGAATTAGAGCAGCTCTTGGAGGGATCCAGCAAATGCTGTTGTTGCAAGGTAAGCGTATGGAGAGCGTGGCCAGAAGCCGAGAGCAGTTGTCAGCTCTCTGCATCCCCTGGTACTCTACCCGCAGAGGGAAGATTAATCATCTGCTGAACTAAAAAAGCTTGCTTGATAGTAAATGCAATGCACTTAATACTGCGAGCTGATTATTCAACTTGTTTCTCTTGTTAATGTCAGAGGGAAGAATCTGTATGTCTGTATAAATTATGGAATGCAGCTGGAGATACGGAAGAAGAGGAATAAGTTTATGTAAATTATTTTGTGTGAAAATGGCAGGTGCTGTTGCCTTGATGTTACGTTGTCATGAACCAATATAAAGCATTATTTAATTACAGAGCGTTGTGCCTCGGCTTCTTGATGTGCTGTCGTACTGGGACATACTTAACTCACCCACTATGCCATAAAGGGATCTCGACTTTCCAGTTTCTCAAAGGAGACGCATCTGTGGTGGGAGACTCATATGTGTCATGTTCAAAACCAAGGCAGGGAAGGTGCTTGGTCGTCTGGCTGTGCCCTGTACATCTAGCAAGACTTTAGATAGAAGGGAGCCAACGGCACCAAGGATTCCTCAACTGGCTTTTGCAACACATGGATGATGTTATAATGATGACTTTCCCTTGGGTATTTCTTGCCTAGACTGAGATTGCAGAATTTTCCTCTGTAATTACTTTTCATCCCTTTAGTAATTAAAGCAATTGCTCATGTGAGGTATTTCAGGTGAAGAATATGTTTAATGAATATCCTCAGTTATTTTCTGATACTGCTGAGCAGGTGGACACAAGGAAGAACTAGCTTCAAATAAGTAGTTGGCTGCTGATTGTTTGGCCACCTCAGCCTAGAAATTGCTGTCTTGAGGTTGCAAACCCTGACATTTAACATCAGGAGTTTTCTTTGAATATGAGGCAGATTATTTTATTATTCTGAATACGAGGCAGATTATTGTCAGCACTTGCAGACTTGTGTCTAGTGAGGCAGTTTTAAAATGAGAAATGGGAAATAAATCAGCACATATCATTATGTTAGAGTATACAGCTGTGGTACTTCTGTGTATCTTTCAAAGGTTGTAGCAGATCTAGCAGTAGTACAGGGAAGGATAATAGTGATGATGAAAGGAATGTAGCAGGTTCTTTATGAAAAGAAGTGAAATCTTCACTTACAAAAAGAGCTGACAGGAGTGAAGGCATATGACAAGCACACAGAATATTGGATGGTAAGGGAACTAAAATAGGGAACTTTCCCATTTTCACTTACTAGGATGCACACAGGAAATAACTGGGTGCCATGTATGAAAAAAAAAAAGCAGGTTTTATTACTTGGGGTTTTTTTCATATAATGAAGAACTCGTCATTGCAACTCTTGTCCACAGCATGCTTTGCAAGTTGTGAC